TTGTCTGAGTAAAGTATATGGCGAAGGGGCTGAGTACAATGGCTCAGCAGGTGAAGGGCATTTGCCTTCTGGTAGTCTGAGCTTTAATCACAAAGTTGTCCTCTGACCTCCACGCACGCACGCACGCACGCACAGGCTTGTGGCACTGCACAGACAGGAAGAGGGAAAGAGGAGTTAGCAATGCTTTGATGTCAAACAGATCCCTACCCACAAATTAAAATATCCCCTTTAGTCTGTGAAAAATACAAAAGTATTAACTTCTGACCCTCAAAATTAGCCCCTGAACATGAAGCTTTTCTTGGACAGCTGACTGACTCTTAATTGAGAACATGAGTCACAGTGCTGCTTACTTGGAGTTGCACAGTGCAGTACTTTTTTGGTCGTTGGTTGGTTCTTGTTATTTTTATGAAGTGGGTCTCACTGTGTACCCCTGGCCTGTCTGGAACTTGCTTTGTAAACCAGGATGTTCACAAACTCATAGATCCACCTGCCTCTCTGCCTCCTGACTGTTGAGAGTTCAATGTATATGCCACTGGTCCGGGCCCATTTTTACAGGAATTGTCAAACATCAAAGCCAGCGGCTTGGGATTGAACCTGGGTCCTCTGGAAGAGTAGCTGGTGCTCTCAACCTCTGAGCCATCTCTCCATCCTCTTGCGTTTTTATAGCTGACCAGCCATTAAGTGGTTGGCACTCTGAGGACCTGGGCTGACTGAAAGCCATAGCCTGAATGAGTTTGTGATCCTGAATCCCATGAGCCCCTTTTTTAGACAGCCCACTTATATAAGTTGTCTGTCTTGAGAGTCCTTGAACATCTATAAAACCCTGTCACTAGCCTGGGGATGTAGCTGAACAGCAGTAAATGTACAGGTCTGTGTTTAAACCCTTATCACAAGGCAAACCCGAACATCACTCAGCCACACCACATATCATGTAATTAAGTAAGGATGTGGCCTGGGCAGCAGCCAGGGCTGCAGAGCAGAACTGTTCAAGCTTCTTTGGTCTCCTCTTCGGGCTTCCGGCGCCTTGCTCTGTGCAATTCTAGTGCCGTGTGCTTGGGTGTTTTTGAAGAGCCATGTTTTTCTAGGTAACACACAGCTGGCCCTGCAGATGATCAAGCGGAACCAGCTGCTCCCCGCGGTGAAGGCGCACTCTGATGTGAGGAAGAAGCCTGTGTTCCAGCCCGTGCACCCCATCCAGCCCATCCAGATGCCTGCATTCACCACTGTGCAGAGGAAATGAGGACTTGCTTTGGGGGAACTGTTACCTGAGGCCCCGGGCATGCTCAGTGGCCTCTCAGCTGTCCACTAATAAAGAGGATACAGTGGCAAAGGTGCTGGTTTTAAAGACAGGTTGAGACTGTTATACTCCACTGGTTTTCTGCCAGAGATTTACTTAAAATTAAGGACTCAAACCTACTTTTGGTTTTTATTTAAACTCTGCGAGGCTTTTAATTGTGAAGCATTGTGTGCTATGTCTGTGTCTAGGCATTAAAACATGTTCTTATCAGAACAGTTTTATAGTCTTTCTTAAAACTGTTGGATTAGTCTATCAACAGATTTAATGTCAGAATTGAAAAAACTAACAGAAAATAACGTCAGCTCTAGCCAGTCCAGAAGCTGACCTTGGAGCGAAGGAGGTGAGTACTGAGTCTGTGTGAGCCACTGTTCTGTTGCTGTGTGAGCCACTATGACCAGGGAAGCTTAGGAGAGAAAGCATTTGATTGGGTTTGCTTGCAGTTTGAGAAGGTCAGTCCCCTGTCATGGTGAAGAGCATGGCGACACGTGCTGGAGCCATGTCCTGGACCGTGGGCCCAAAGAGATGCTCTAGGCCTGCTGTGGGCTTTCTAAATCGCAGAGCCCATCCCCAGCGACACTTCCTCTAACACAGCCATGCCTTCTAGTCCTTTTGAGCACTGCCGCTCCTGGTGACCAAGCACTCAAGTCTCTGAGCCCCTTGAGGCCATCTCATCCAAACAGCACAAGATAGAATTGGGTTTAAAGGAGCTAACTGGTACACTAGGAATCCTTTACTGGAAAACTCCTGACAGCAGGGCTGGACAGATGGCTCAGTGGTTAGGAGCACTGATCCTACAGGGAACCAGACTTCTGTTCCCCACACTCACGTGGCTTACAACTGCCTGTAGCTCTCCAGTCCCAGGGCTGTCTGACACCCTCTTTCGGGCCCTCTTAACACCTGCAGAGATGAGATGCGGGCTCACATACACATAAGTAAATAAAGAACTGGAGTCCTGTACTGTGCCCTTCGTCCCAGGAGTTGGCCTCTATAAGCACCTGCACAGATAAAATGCTCACAAGCTCCGTGCACGCTCTCATACACAGGTAGGTAGACAGATAAACAGCTGGGCAGCTGGGCATGCTTACACA